ACTTTTTTGGATTTTTCTACCTGGATTATTGAGCATGCATCAGGATAGTCAGGATATAAGGTTTTCGGTGGGTAAATATTTCAATTATTTAACTTTTTTTTCACTGCTGTTTTGAAAGTGTGTACACAAGCGGCAAGTTACATGGCGAGGGGCAGAGAAATTCTGGGGTCAGACCACTTGTCAGAAATGAAATCATGATAATCGAAAGTGAGCACTCGTTATCCAGTTTTTCATGTTGGTTTAATAAAAGAAGTGTGTTTTTGTTTTTTCATTTTTTGTTTCAAACAAAAAAACGAACTGCCTGAATGTACACTCACCGGTTCAGCTCCAAACTTTCATCAGGAGCGTAAATTCCCCTCTGAACAAACAATAACGTCTGGAAATGTTTTTCAAATTAAAAATGTCCATCAATCATTAGCCTCTAAACCAACAGAGGACGACTTCCTTTATACCTGAAATAACACCAAGAAAAGGTGAAGGGCTGGAAAAATGACGAGTCATTTTCTGCAGCGCTGCTGAAGATAAAATATTTTATCTAGAATCTAATTCATGCTAATCAAAATACAAGATGGCTGCCAGAGCTAAGAGGAAGGAGTGACTATGATCAGCAAGCTGGGAGCGAACCCCGACACAGAGGGAAGTCAGGGACATTTTAAAATGTCTGCCACGTGGTTTATTTTCCACTTCTACAGGTTCTGTCTCCGTCCTCCATTGTCTCTGCTGCAGGACTGATGGATCCTCCAGAGGTCAGAGGTCAACACCCAAACTCCTATTGACGTCCACTGTATGAGCTTCAAACTGGAAGCGAAGACTCTTCTTCTACAGGGTTTCATGTCTCCTCCATGAAAACCTGTAGAACCATCATACAGGACCGGTGGCACCATCAGAACCATCTGCTGCTCACGGCTCAACAACTTTGATCAGACTTCTCACAAAGACCGTTTGTCTGAGGTTCCATTTTTGCTCGGTGGTTCTGCTCGAACATTTCCCATCTTTATTTGAATGTTGAAGGTTTTAAACGAGCTTTGTGGATTTTACCGGAATCATCGGAGTTTGATAAAAGCGAAAACAGAACTCATCGCTGACCAAATAAAATCAATTGATAAAAGAGCGTACGCAAAAAACCAGTGAGATTCAGAGGAGGTGCCTGAAGTGAACAGTTTGTCCGAGTTCTGTTGGACTCAGTTGGACGAGGGTGATTGTTTAGTTGAACTGAGACTCAGAACCAGAACCTTTACCTCATCTGCTTGCAGGGACAGCTCACTGGCATCGTGGGCGTCATACTCATACAGGACTCTGGCCTTTCTGGACCCGGTTACCAGCAGTTGAGTAGAACCAGCCGCTCCAGAGGACAGAGGTCCGGATGGGAAGGCAGAGGAGACCGGGTCAGAACAGCCAAAGGAAGAGAGGAGGGCGGGGCCGGCCGAGTTGGAACATCTAGAAAAAGTTAGGAAACAAGAAACAACTCTGAGTGGTTCTGATAGAAGAACTGTGAAAGCACAGACTGGGTCCACAGAGGTTCGACACCAGTCCAGAACCTTTACAGAACCACACTCCTGGGTCCACGAAACCCCAGAACGACTTTATTACTTTACAAAATCGAGAAGTTCAACTTCCTGCAACTTCCACATTAAAACAAAATGTGATTCACAAACCATACACTTATTTTGAAAAGATTTTTAGTCCCCAAGTGTGAAAGATCATCCAACCAACATCCAACCATCTGTCTTCCAACCAGCATTCCCAGACCAGAGAGGATCTAAAATTCCTCCACAGGGTTCTGGGACTGCAATGGGGTCTCCTCCCAGTGTGCTGTATCTATAAACCCTTCAGAAGGAGGCGCCCAGGAGGCATCCTATTGACCCTGAACCTCCCCAGCAGAGGAGCAGCAGCTCTATCTCCCGTATGATGGAGCTCCTCACCCTAAGACTGATGCTCTACGAAGGAAGCTCATTTCAGCTGCTTGAATCCAGGATCTGTTTTTTTTATTTATTCTGATTCTTGACTTGGGCGGCTGTGGCTGAGTGGTTAGAGCAGTCGTCCTCCAACGCAAGAGTTGAGGGTTCGAATCCACCAGCAGTCACGTGCCCAAGTGTCCCTGAGCAAGACATTGAACCCCTCATTGCCTCCAATGTGTGTCCCATCAGTGTATGAATGTGATCTCTTGATCTTGCCAATCTCTGTCTGTGAGGCTGACACATTATCCAGTTTTAAAACTAGACTCAAGACTTTCCTTTTTGATAAATCCTATAGTTAGGGTCGGCTTGGGTTTCCTGAGCTGTCCCTTAGTTCTGCTGCTATAGGCTCAGACTGCTGGAGGACAAACTGACCACACTGTTCACTCTGCTACTCTCTTTACTTACTCTGCTCAACCTGTTTTGTATTTGTAATTATTTTTTCTATCCTTAACATGTTTTTTTTTGTCTTTCAGATACACCTGGACCTATATCTGGACCTGGACCTACATCTGGACCTACCATTCTGTGTTCGTCTGTCTCTCCTTCCTGTCCTCTCAACCAGCCGGTCAAAGCAGATGGCCGCTTGTCCTGAGCCTGGTTCTGCTGGAGGTTTCTTCCTGTTAAAAGGGAGTTTTTCTTTCCACTGTCTCCACTGTGCTTGCTCAGGATGGGAGACTGCAACGAAGCCAAGATTCATCTTGTCTGCTGGATTCCTTAGATAGAGAACTTTACTAATTGGCTTTTTTGTGAATGTTCCTGTAAAGTCCCTGAGACAACTTTGTTTGGCGCTATATAAATAAACTGAATTGACTTGAATTGATAAAGCTCTGATTAGTCTCTTTAGAATGATTTGTTCAATTATCTTTGTAGAGATCTAGTATAGAGCTGTATGAATGGGTCAATGAGGCACAGATTGATGTAAAGAGCTTTGAGTGTCTTGATGAGATGCAAAGGTGCTGTATAAGTACAGCCCATTCACCATTTGACTCAAACCTCCTGACCACAGGCGAGGATTGGAACGTAGATGGACTTTTACATTTAGAGCTCAGTTCCTTTTTCACCATGACTGACTGGAGCAACACCCTCATAATGACAGAACGACTAAAAGCCCTGCTTCCCTACATTTGGATTGACTATACAGCAAGATTAGAGTAAGTGGAGTTTTTAATGAAGGATTTTAATTTATGGTTCAGAACAGTTTGTCTCTGTAGCTGCTGAGCTAAGATGTTAAAAATCTCACGGATGAATCAAAGTGAATGAAAAATATATGAATGATTAAAAACTATGCTCCTGATTATCTGTCTATCCATATGTTCCTGCCAGCAGAGTCCTCACCTGTGGAGTTCCCTCTGGAGATCCTGCATGTGGTGATGACACTGGGCGTAATACGTGGCCTGAGCTTCTGCCAAGTCCTGCAAACACCTCAGGTGGTTGAGCTGAAGGGAGGAGACAGAAGAAGAGGAAACCAGCACTGAACCAAACCTGCCTCAAGCTCTCATTATCAGGCACACTGAACCTCCCATGAACCACAGTACTGAACCTGGGAGTGAAAAACTGCTTTCAGCCCCAGACCCAACAGAACCTCCTTCAGCAGCAGAACTTTTAGTGGTTTTCTTTGTCTCTCATGGTTCTGGAGGAGCTCTCTGGACCACGCTTCTTTCCATCACCGAGGGTTTTGCTCAGCTCTCTGTAGATCCACCACAGCATTTCTGTCAGGTTGAGGTTCTGGACTCTGACTGGACCATTGCAGCAACTTGATTCTGCTTTTTCTGACCCATTTTGTTGTAGATCAGCTGCTGTGTTTGGATCATGGTTCTATTGGACCCAGTTTGGTCCAGTCTTCAGCTGTTGGACAGATGGACTCACATTTGACCCCAGATCAGTGGTTCTTGAACTTCTCCGGTTCTTAGCCAGAATCCCAGCAGCAGAGACCTGAGTCCTGGACTGGGTTTAGTTGGAAACATCGTTAAGACGTCGTCACGACAACCAGATTCATTTGAATCTTTTTATATTTAACAATCAGTTTCTGCACATCATCTCAGGACCCCCAGCTCCAGGTTACATGGTTCTGACCCCAACTTTAACACTACAGTACTTTATGTGGTAAAATGTGGTCTACAGAACCATGGACTCAAAATGATCTTTGACCCTTAACAGAATGACGAGCAGCAACAGATGCTTCTCTGAGCTCATTATGTACTTCCACCTTGGCATTGTGGTAACACACTGCTGATTAGAGCTATAATTTCTGACCTGGCCCGAAGCCCGGCCCGAAATTTCAGCCGTGTGCTGGATGGGCGGGCCGGGTCAGTCTCGAGCTTTTGATTGCATCAGTGGACGTGCACGGCTGACGATCCAATTTGGCTCATCGGCCAAATGCGGCTGGTTGAAAGAGGTAAAGAAAAGTTGAGATGGATGACAGCCAGCGAGGCAGCGACCCTCCTGGAGCTGCACTCAGCCGCTGCGTCAGCAGACGGGTGCGACCTATGACCCAATCCGGATTGTCGCCTCGCACATCTGCCGACGGGTAATAACTACAATAACTATAATATTATAATAACTATAACTACAATAGTGCAGCACGGTGGCGCAACTGGTAGAGCTGCTGCCTCTCAGTGAGCAGGTCCCTGGTTCAAACCCCGGTCCAGGGGCCTTTCTGGGTGGAGTTTGCATGTTCTCTCCGTGCATGCGTGGGTTTTCTCCGGGTGCTCCGGTTTCCTCCCACAGACCAAAAACATGCATGTTAGACTGATTGGTAACTCTAAATTGTCCCTAGGTGAGAATGAGAGAGTGAATGTTTGTTTGTCTCGTTTGTCCCTGTGATGGACTTGCGACCCGTCCAGGGTGTACCCCGCCCCTCGCACAGTGATTGCTGGACATGGGCACCGGCGACCCCCCGTGACCCAAAATGGAATAAACGGGTAAAGAAAATGGATGGATGGATGGATATAATATAATAATATAGATATAATAACTATAACTACAATAACTATAATATTATAATAACGATATTATAGTAACTATAATATTATAGAAACTATATTATAATAACTATAATAACTATAATATTATAATAACTATGATATTATAATAACAATATTATAATACCTATATTATAATAACTATATTATAATAACAATAATAATATAATAACTATAACTACAATAACTATAATATTATAAAAACTATATTATAGTAACTATAATATTATAATAACAATATTATAATAACTATATTATAATAACTACAATAACTATAATATTATTATAACTATAATATAATAACTATAATAACTATAATATTATAATAACTATATTATAATATCTATTTTATAATAACTATAATAACTATAATATTATAATACCTATATTATAATAACTATAATGTTATAATAACTATATTATAATAACTATAATAACTATAATACTATAATATCTAAATTATAATAACTATAATAACTATATTATAATAACTATAATAACTATAATATTATAATACCTATATTATAGTAACTATAATAACTATAATATTATAAGAACTATATTATAATAACTACAATAACTATAATATTATAATAACTATATTATAATAACTATATTATAATAACTATAATAATTTTAATATTATAATAACTATAATATTATAATATCTATATTATAATAACTATAATATTATAATACCTATATTATAATAACTATAATAACTATAATATTATAATACCTATATTATAATAACTATAATAACTATAATATTATAATAACTATATTATAATAACTATAATAACTAATATTATAATATCTATATTATAATAACTATAATAACTATAATATTATAATACCTACATTATAATAACTATAATAACTATAATATTATAATAACTATAATAACTATAATATTATAATAACTATAACTAGAATAACAATAATATTATATTAACTATATTATGGCAACTATAATAACTATAATATTAAAATAACTATATTATAATAACTATAATATTATAATAATTATATTATAATAACTATAATATCATAATAACAATATTATAATACCGATAT